TTAAACGCACAAATGATACTGGTTGGTTATTAATTTAACTTTAATGCAGCTAAATCCCTTTTATTTTATTAATTTATATGATCGTGGATCTGCATTCAAAAACCACTCAATGTTTATATAAAGTCGCCCATCCCTGATATACAAAACCAAACAAATTCTTTCATTTATTAAAATTTTTTTTCGTGTACATAATAACCTTTCATTCGTGTATCATAAACTATCTTTTCTGTAAAACATTCTTACTAGTTTTTTGTGTCTATTAAAATATAAATATATCAATCCTTGTACAATATTTACAATATTTGCAAAACATCCAATTTCTTCATAACCAAAAAAAAAAATACTTTTTTTATTTTATATTTCATCTCATAATGGTCTCTCTAAAGATGTCTGCAACTTCTTCGACTATTAGTGAACGAGACCTAAATTCTAAACTTACTGAAATATTCACTAAAATTGGGCAACTTGGAAATGCACAACAAGTAATTATTTTTTATCATTGTTTATTATCGAATTATTGTTGAATTTAATTTGCAGCTTATCTAATTCCCATTGTTGAAAATGTAGGGCATCCAAGAACTTTATGACTTATTAATAGAACATCCGGAATGTGACGTCAAAGTTAATGCATTTCTCGCTTCCGCTGGAACTTTCTTTCAAAAATATATTCGAAAAGCGCTAGCTGACCTTACTACTCAAGAAATGCAAAAATGCGGAATGTTGCCTAAAGAATCTTTAACTCCTTTAACTCCTTTAACTCCCGTATCTACGGCGAAAGACACTCCTTTACAAAAACTACCAACCACCCCAAAAAACAAACCTCCGCACAAATTTTCTACAAACCGTTGCTCTAATAGTATTGCGATAAATGCTAGTTCGGCGAAAGACTTTTCTATTAAAAATGATTTTCATGAAGTAAAATCGGGTTTCCCTATAACCCCTATAACCCCAAGGACAAGTATGTTATATACTATTTTGTTTCTTTTTGTTTTTTATTGTTTTTGTTCGTTTATCATATGTAACCTTTTTTAATTTATAATTTTAATTATTTTAATTTCAACAGAAGCTTTCATAGATAAAGTATCACAAGAAACTTTTGATCAAACTCGATTACGTCTTCATGCCATATTTCAATATGAAAAGTACAAGGTGATTAATTTAATTAATTAATTTAATTAATTAATTTAATTAATTAATTTAGTTGTTCATAATAAATTTTCTTATTACATTACTGACTGCTAAATTTGTTTTCTTTTAAATAGACCGGCCAAAAACGATCAAGTCTACCAAATTTAAAACAATTCGAATGTGATAATGAACGATTAGAATATGTTAAAAGTATTATACGATCACGGCCAAGAGCTCGTCGTTCTACTTGGAATGATATCAACACCCCGCTTACTACTAAACTTACTGATGTATCTATTCATGCTAATTAACTTACATCAATCAATATCAATCAATGTTGCGGTTCATAATTAACTCGGATTGAAATGAATTGAAATGAATTTGGGTTTCTATTTAACCTCCTAAAGCTGAGCTAAAAAAAATGCTCCCAATATTTTGCATATTTGGCATTTTTCGGTGAATTTTGCTATTTTTTTGCATTTTTCAGCGGTTTGTCTATTTTATTCTATCCAAATTTCATTTTAATCGGCCACAATTATTTATAATTTTTGGTAATCATCTATTCATTTTATCGAACAATTTTTTCAATCTCTTTTGGTGGATCCTTGAGAGACAATTACTATCTTTTTCATTCACACACACATTCATTCCTTTATATATCATAAAGAACATTAAATATATATAGTAGTAATTGAATTTTTATACTGTACTATTATTACGATAATTTAAACATTTGAATGGGTTAAACAAATTTTAGTGATTTGTTTAGATGGTTGAAATACTTAATTAGAGCGAATTAGAGTGATTCTAGAGTAATTTTGTTAAATAATGGCAATGTAAATAAATCTTTCACACTCATTTTAAGAATTTTTTTTTTTTTTTTTAATGGATAAATGTGAGAATAAACACAACCATCTTTTTACAAATATTTAATTCTTGACCGATATTTAAGGCATATCCTAATTTTAATAATGACTTTTATACCGATTTATGTTTGCTATTGATCACTTTGATCAATTACAATTTATAATTTATAATTTATAATTGATACGTACATAGCCTAATTTTACGTATTAAAACAACAATTATATAACGATAGTACCATCAATTTAGCCATGCAAACAAATAAAATTGGTTCTAGTTACCCGGCCGGGTGACTTTTCTATAAATTTTGTTTTTTCTTATTCAAAAAATATTATACAGCATACTATATGCTTAATTCTTTAAAGAATTAAATTTAGAAAGTCGATAAATAAGATTTCATTATAGCCTCCTAGAATTGTCAATTCACTATTCAGGTTTTCTATAGTTATTTGAAAACTAAATTTTAATATCATTTTTTATTGAAAAGTCTGTGTGCCACCCGGGGTGGTATACCACCCCGTCTAAATTAAATAGTAATTTGATGACGCACATCACCTTAGGGTTAGGGTCAGTCAGTCAATTTAGTATTTAATTTAGATAGGGTGGCAATAAATTATTTACCACCCCGGGTGGCACCAAGAACTCCTAATTTTTATTATTTATTATTTAAATATGGTACTGTAGCTATTTATTACTGCTACGTAATAATTACTGCTTATAATATTCCGGGTTCTATTTAAAAATTTTATTTTTAAACTTTAATACAGTTAATATCAACCTCTTATTAAGAAAAAATAGGCTTAAGCTATATAAAAACTATCCCGCTGTTATTAACCCTCGCACATATCAACATAATTGCCTAATCCAAATGGGTTGATATTAACGGGGTAACCTGTTTTAATAAACCTTTGTAGATATAAAATACTAAGAAATAAATATATTTTAATTGCTGATCCGGATAAGATCGGCAGAATTTCTATATTAGAAATTGGGGCAAAATTCCTATGATATTAACTATATGCTTCAATCTGAGCGGAGTCAAATACACTTGACCCCCGTTAATATCAACCTCGTTAATATCAACCTCCCGTTAATATCAACCTTTTATTTAGACAAAATAGACTCATGGTATATAAAAACTATCCCGATATTATCAACCCTCGCATATATCAACATAATTGTCTAATCCAAATGGATTGATATTAACGAGGGTCAAGTGTATAATAAAAATTTATATTGTACTTATCCCCAAAATTTACTATTGTCCCAATATAGTAACTCTACAGATCTTATCTGGATCATCAATTAAGCAATTTATATTAGAATTAAACTTTTTTTAAATAGACTTTCTAATATATTTAGTATTTAAATCAAAAATATTTTAAAAATAGTAAAAAAGATTTTAATTAAATATAATTATATAATTATTTTACAAAAAACTATATGACTTTTATCAATTTTTTGTTAAAAATAACCAATTTAGTTTACTTTTTCTAAAAAATTAATATGTACAGTCTTCCTTCTTTATAATCACACAGTTTATATCAAGAAAATTAGTGATTATAAAAGAATGTGATTATATAGAAGTATTTTTTTATAAGTTTTTTTAATAAATCATCTCAAAATTTAATGTGATTGCACAGGAGTTGTGATTACCATATATTCCTGAAAATAAGCTACTCTGAAAATAAGCTACCTTTCTTTTTTGAAAGAAAAATATAAAAACTTCTATTATCTGAAAATAAGCTACTTATACGATCATTAGTAGTTACTCTATAGTAAAGTCAAAATTTTACTAAGTAAATTGACATAGCTTATTAAGTAAAAGTTAGTTAGGAGATCAAAATATCTAAATTGGATAACTTTTTATTAATAGGTTTTTGTATGTTACATTCAACAAATTTTTTAAAATTTCTTTAAAATTCATATTTGTTGAACATAAAAATCAAAAGTCAATTAATAAAAAGTTGTTCGATTTATGTAAAATTTTCAAAATATATGTATTTTGATCTTCTGAATAACTTTCACTTAATGAGCCATATCGATATACTTAGTAAAAT